GATTTCACGGCATCCTGATTTCTTGTTATTTGTATTTTCCAATTTTCCTACCATGACTATGTATTTGGTCCAAAGACAAAGGGTTTTATTCTCCCTTTTTTTTTGCAGTGCTGGGACCCAACCCAGGGTTTTACCCATTCACATGCTTAGCACTGAGCTGCAGTCCAGGCTCTTCCTTTTTTAAAAAATTCATTTACTTACTTTGCTTTTTTCCTTTTTGAGACAGGGTTTCGCCTGCAGTGTAGGCTGGCCTCAAACTCAGTTTGATCCTCCTATCTCAGCCTCATGGTGCGTGCCACCACACCCACTCCTTTTAAAAAAATTAATATTTACTTACATGCTACTCCCAGAAAATCAGGGAGACTCAAAGTCTAAAAAAAAATCGCAAATTAAAGAATCTCCAAGATTCAAGAATGTGGGAACAAGAATCCTTTAGATAGTGGAGTGCGGGCAGGGGCTTTTTCGCTGTTATGTGGTAAAAATGCAACCATAGAGAACTAATTTGCCAGTTGGTCTGCAAATGGAGTCCCCTCCCCCCGCTTTTTGGATTGTGAAGACAGGTTCTCGCTATGTAGTTCTGGCTGGCTTTGAATTCACTATGTCTCAGAGGCTGCCCTTCAACTAGCGGTGATCCTCCTGCCTCAGCCTCGAAAGTGCTGGGATTACAGGCCTGCTCCACCACACTAGCCTCTGCCCTTCTTGTTTCTAAAGATCCTTCTCCGAGAATTTAAGGTTAAAATGGATAGCAATTATGCATTGGGCAGGAAGGGTGAATTCAAAGTACAGAGGAAGAAACCGAAAGTCTTTGCCTTTACCAGTACTATTTTTATCTCTCTTCTCAGCTAAATTTGACCTCTAATTTGTTTATTCTCTTTCCTTTAACAAATACTGAAGTACTTTTTTCTTGGCTGATTAGGTCATGGAGAGAAAAAATAAGTTAGCCCTGACCTGGGAGCTAAGGATGTAGCACAGTAAACAACCTACTCCCTGGAAATGTTAACTAGAAATAAGGCAGGTCATGGTCAGGATCAGAGCTGCCCAGCAGAGCTTTCTACAGTGACAGAATTATTCATTTTGTGCTGACTGACCAGTATCAATCAGTGTTTTACTAGAGAAACAAATACAATACAAGACATACAAATGATAGGAATACACAAGATTGGCTTACAATGGCCACCCAAAGAATCAGATGAGGAAGCGTGCAGAGGGTGTCTGAATACTGGGGACTGAAGTTTTCAGCCCAGGGCCTGGAGCTCATTGCAGTGTCTGTGCGAGTCTGTATCAGGAGGCTGACAGGCTTGTGATGGAAGGCTGAAGGATCCACGCCAGAAGCTGAATAGTCTGCGCTGGAAGCCGGGAGACAATGTCCAAGCTGAAAGGGAAGACCGGAGGTCCTCCGAAGAACAGAAAAAGATCCGTCCTTCCTCATTTCCCTGTTATACCATCCAGGTGATGAGCTGCCCTACGGTGGGTTTTCCACACCCCAGTGTAAATTTTTTTTTTTTTTTGTCTTTTTGAGACAGGGCCTTACTATGCAGTTCAGGCTGGCCTTGAGCTCACTTTGTAGCTGAGGCTGGCCTTGAACTCACAACAATCCTTCTGCCTCAGCCTCCCAAGGGCTGGGATTTACAGGCGTGTTCCACCACACCCAGCTGCCAGTGTGTAGAATTGCTGAGACAATTTAGTTAAACTTCTGTATTTCTCAAGTTAATACAATCAGCCACACAGGCTAGCAAGTATTTGAATTGTGTTTAGTACAACTAAGGAACTAAAATTTTATTTTATTTTATTTTATTTTTTGTCTTTTTGAGACAGGGTCTCACTATGCAGTTCAGGCTGGCCTTGAGTTCACTTTGTAGCCCAGGCTGGTCTCAAACTCACAACGATCCTCCTGCCTCAGCCTCCCGGGTGCTGGGATTACAGGCATGCACCACCACGCCCGGCACAGGAACTAAAATTTTAATTTAACTTCTGTTTTAATTTAACTATTCCAGCTGGTTTGAATGGTACAAGCCTAAGTTCCAGAAGGTGTCAATAGTTAAATAAGGCATACATTGATTTCTAAAGAGAGCGAGGGGTTCAAAAGCTGAGAATAAAGAAATGTGTTCTAGGAAAGAAAAAAAAAAGTACTCATGAGCTATGCTCAGCTCCCATTAAGAGTAAGAGAGTGCTGGGTGTCTGCATGGGAGACCGAGCTACAACATGGGGCAGACCACGCAGCGAATGCTAGGATTTGAAGTCTAGGTAACCAACTTTTTTTTTTTTTCAGTACTAGGGATTAAACCCAAGGCTTTCATGCTGAGGTTCATTGCCAGCCCTTTCTGTATCTTTTTGACACAAGGTCTTCATAAATTGCCCAGGGTGAGTTTAAATTTACCATCCTTCTGCTTCAACCTCCCAGAGTGCTGGGATTGAAGGTGTGAGTCACCACACCCACCAAGAGTCATTGATTATTTTCTGATCAGTGGGGTAAGAATAGCTTTTATCTTATGCCAGACATTATGTTGAGTGTCTTACATGGATGATTTATTTCATTACAACAGCCCTTTGAGGGAAAAAGACCTTAAAAAAAAGTGACTGAATTTATGAGGAAGATCCTTTGAGCTGGGTATGGGGGACACACATCTGTAAACCCAGCTACTGTACTTGGGAGGCTGAGGTAGGACTGCAAATTCCACGCCAGTCTAGGTAACCTGGTGAGAACCCTTCTCAAAATACAATTGAAAAGGGATGGGGGTGTAGCTCAGCGCGCCCCAGATTGAACCCTCAGTCACACACGCATGACCCTTGGAGGAGAGGGAGGACCAAGTACACAGTTATCTGTGCACTTTGGCACTGGGAGGATTTAGGGAAACAGCTTCAGGAAGGTTAAATGGAGCGGAGCCCCTCCCCCAACACTCTTAGGTAAGTCACAGGTAGGGATCAGGACAGGTGAGAGAGGAAGCCAGCAGGTCCCAGGGTCGTCTTGGAAGAAACGACTCTTGTGTCTTTGGGCATATGAGAGTTGACATAGAATGCATGGTGGATAGACTTTGAGAAGAGCATTAAGGTTGCCGCAGTTGGGTATGTTTTTTTAGCCTAGTGAAGCAGGAATCAGGGCCATCTGCCAAGAACTGAGAGAAAGCAAGACAGGGCGAGGGGGAAGGAAAAAAGAGCTCTGTAATAGCATCGGCAGCACTGCTGTAATAATAATCATCCCCACCGGGGGCTATCATGTGCCTATTACGGGCAGTCACATATACTATCATATTTAGTCTATCTAACAATTCACTGAGATGTAATTTTCAAATTATAAAACAGGAAACTGAGGCTCAAGAAGGTTATCACTTTAGGGTTGAATATAAAGATCAGTGGTAGAGCGCTTGGCTAGCATGCAGTGTCCTAGTTTCGACTCCCAGCAGGGCAAGAGGAAAGAAAAACTGGCTAGTAAGTATCATTTCAGGTTTTAGCAAGTAGGTTGAAAAAAATACAGTGTCATAATAGCTATTGTAACGCGGGTGGTGGTCACACTCATGTGGTCGGGGGTGGAAGACCCCTCTGCTGAGGGGACAAGTGAGTTGAGAATTTCAGGGTGAGAAAGGTGGAAGTTCTCCAGCCCCAGGATGGAAGTGCAAGCGCAGGGGATCCAGGACAAACTAGCTGGGCATCTCCAGGGATGTAAATGCAGCGCGACAGCAGCGTGGTGAGCAAGGGGCTACAGGCCAAGGTGTGAGGCGCGATCGCAGGCCGGGGAAGGATTTGCGCCAATCCGAATCAATGGAATCAGGCTCCACACGGCAAGGGTCAGGCTGTCCCGCTCGCGGACGGGTGCTGTCGTAGCGTGAAGCCACCTGGCACCTGGGGCGGGGACGAGCCAACCGACCCGGAGAGCGTCCAGGTCCAGGGGCCAAAGGCCGAGCAGGCGAGGGGGTGGGGGTGGGGAGCGTGACCCTCTGGAGGACACCAGCGTCCTGGTCGCAGGCACCGCCAGCCGGCTGAGGCCACCCACGAGGTCCCCAGCGTCACCCCACTTCCGGCCCGGCAAGCTACCCCCGCCCGGGGCACCACCGCCCCCGGCGGACTGGCCTGGTTTTCACCGGGGGAGGCGGGTCCGTCTACCAAAACTTCGGGAGGTCGGAACCCTTTCCCTTGAGAGCGATGAGGAGACGAGATAAAGTACGGTTAGGACAAAGTCATACGGAAATCGCCCTTTTGATTCGTGTCTGGTTTTCCTCTCCCGGCAGTCCAGAAATGACTTGCTTCTCCGTGCGCTCTCCAAATCACCCCCTCCAACAGCGAACTCATGGTTTCGCCCCTCTACGCGGATTGGTTGAGGATTTACGCCTCGGCCAGGGATTGGAGAACAACAGTTTTTACCTAATCCCCGCGCGCGCATTAGCTGGTCGTCGGGGCTTCTGGGCGGAGTGGTCGGGGACGGTTTCCACCCTCTTGTTTACGGAGCGCGTAGTTGTAGCTCTGGGGCTGTCTCCAAAGTTCCCTATTTAGCTACTCGGGCCAATTAGGGCCTGGCTCCACCTTCTTTCTCTCCCTCGCACGCGTTCCTCGTGGTACGACCCACACCTTTAGAGCCGCGGCGCGTGCGGACGCCCGTCGGCCCCCTCCCCCCGCGCGCTTGGTACGGCCCGCGCCTCCTCCTTCCCTCGCGCGGCTGGCGGCGCCCCTCCGGGTCGGTGGCGCTTGGTGCCGCCCGGGAGAACCAGGTCATCGGTCGGTTCCCGTGAAAACAAAAACAATCGGCGGCGCCTCAGCGGGCAGCCCACGTCGGAGAACAGGGGTCGGAGAAGCGGCGCCGGGTGGGGCGAGCGGGCGAGTGAGCGGGCGAGAGCGGCGGCGACGCGCCGGGGCCGGGGCGCCATGGGG